TCCTTCCTAACACTTACCCATTTACCGAAAGGGTTTGGTGTACAATGGTCACCGACTCGTCGAGTGCCAAGAACAACTCCCTAAGTCCAACCTTGATTAATTCCATACAGTTGATTGAAATGAGATCTAACACACCAAAACCATAGATCTGGCCTCCTAATGTCCATTTTATACGTAAAGTTCCAAACTTGATGCACATGCATGGGGTATTTAGCTCAAAAATCCATATAAAGTGTCCTACAATGTGCATGGGGCTCTCATGGCCCTAAAGTTGGCACCTTTATGCCATGAGACCCCTCTTAAGGCCCAGATCCGAAGTCAAAACTCACTCAACACTTCCAAATCCGAAAAATGACTTAGAAATCCATGGAGATCCCAAGTTGAAGATGAATAAACACATAGATGAGTCAAGACAGGGGCATTATACCTTGAAGCTACTGAAAATGAAGTAAGATCTCTGGATCTACAAGCCCCAACTCGATTTCCAAGCTCCTTTCTTCCTTCCAAGCTTTACAATCCACACAAGAACACCAAAAATGGCCTTAACTCACACACAAACAGCTAGGGTTCGATATGAAGCTTTCAAGGGAGTGTTAGGGGCAGGGGAGGCTGAGTTAAGTTGTTTATATATGGTGCAAACCCTCAGATTTAGGGTTTCACTTATCCAACACCTACTCGCCAAGTCAGTCTCCCGACTCGTCGAGTCGGTCACTTAAAATGTCCGCAGCCACGTCCTTACTCGACGAGTTGATCCTCCAACTCCTCAAGTCCCAGAGAAAAACATACCAGGTGTTACAAAATCATTGCTTGAAAGACCTTTGGTAGCAAGCGCCACAAGTGTCGCGCCTTTAATGGTTCACAAACAAACTCAAGCAACCAAGGAAAACTATAGAGAGTGCAATAGAAGAGAAATTTCAGCCCTTAGGCTCTTGGAAGAGCCATAGCCAAAATTTTAACCCTAATGAGGGTTTATATATGTGTTAGGAATATATTAGATAACTGTAATCGCTTAACTTCCTCCCTAAGGCATCCAAGGCACCCTTAGAGCTCAAGGAAACCTTAATGAGGGTCGAACCGGTAAAAACCGGTCCGATTGAACTGGTAAAACCAATCAAAACCGGAATTTTATATTTATTTTTTTCATTTTTTGTATTTTTTATATAATTAAATATAATTATGACATCATCCGGTTTTTCCGGTTTCTGAGACGGATCCGACCGGTTGGACCACCTGAACCATCGAACCGGTAAGACAACTGGTTCGATCTCCGATGGTTTTCAAAACCTTGGCTTTTCGTCGATGATGCATAAAGTCCTTTAAGAAAAGCAATAAATTGAAAATCTTTAATGATAATAATAGATAATAATAAAGAGACTTGAATTTGTGGATATCAACTAAATAAGCCACATTAATAACCACATCAGATTTGACATTCAAGATATACTACTCAACTTAGAATTCAAGTAAACGATGACCAAAGAAAAATAGTAAAAATCGAACAAAAAAGTAAGCATAGACATAACAAAAATATCAAATAATCGATAATTGAAATCCGACTCAAAATAAAGATAAAATTACAAAAATGGTCCTTATGGTTTGCCAAAAGTCACAAAGTCAGTTCCTATTAATTTTTTTTTTGATGTAAATGGTCATTGTGGTTTGAAAAACTTGCACGGATGGTCCTTTTTACTAACGTCGTTAGTATTCAGCGGTTAGGGACTGAATTCGTAAGGGTATTTTCGTCTTTTCAAGTATAAAGGGACTGAATTTGTGATACTTGGTAAACCATAGGGACCATTTTTGTAATTCTTCTAAAAATAATTTAAATGAGTGGAGGAGGATTCAAACTTGGGACCTCCTCCCCTAATCCCAAACCAACCTATGCCTTATACCAATAAGGTGAAACAAAACTTAGTTTATAGTTCCGAAAAATAAATTACATTATGTAAAATCGCAAAAAAAAAAAAAAGATAAACAACAAAATAAATTACATTTTTTTTACATAATTTTTTTAAATAAAACAAATTGTATTTTTACGTATTGAAGAAAAAATAAATTTTTACAATTAGTTTATATGTTTTTTTACGTTTTTATTTTATGTAAAATAATTTTTTTACGTATTTAAAAAATACGGTTTTATAAAATACGTTATTATGTTGTTATAATCTTATAGTATACTTTTACGTTATGTTAACGTCTTTAATTGGTTTAAAGCAAAACTACAAGTATTTTTTTTACGTAAAAACATTAAGAACATGAAAACATAACGTAAAAAAAAAATACTTGAATATTCACTTTAAATCAATTAAAGATGTTAAGATAACGTAAAAGTATATTTTATGATTTTAACGACGTAATAACGTATTATATGAAAATGTATTTTTTAAATACATAAAAAACATACTTCATGTAAAATAAATATATACAAAAAAAAGTTACACATTTTTTAGTAATATTTAAATACATAAAAAAACGTAATAACATATTATACAAAAACTTAATCTTAAAAATGTGTAATTTTCTTTTATATATATATATATATATATATATATATATATATATATATATATATATATATATATATATATATATATGAATTATGTTTTTTTATGTATTTAAAAATACATTTTTATATAATATATTATTACGTTGTTAAAACCATAAAATATATTTTTACGTTATCTTAACATCTTTAGTTGATTTAAAACGAATATTCAAGTATTTTTTTACGTTATGTTATCATGTTCTTAATATTTTTACGCAAAAAAATACTTGTAGTTTTGCTTTAAACCAATTAAAGACGTTAACGTAACATAAAAGTATAGTATAAGATTATAACAACATAATAGCGTATTGTACAAAAACATATTTTCAAATAAAGAAAAAATAGTTTATGTAAAATAAAAACATAAAAAAAAATATAAACTAATTGTAAAATTTTATTTTTTCTTCAATACGGTAAAAGTACAATTTGTTTTATTAAAAAAAATTATGTAAAAAAAATTGTAATTTATTTTGTTATTTATCCTTTTTTGCGATTTTAAGTAATATAATTTATTTTTCGGAATTATAAACCAAATTTGGATGTAGCTTATTAGTATAAGGCTTATGTTGGTTTTTGGGATTAGGGGAGGAGGTCTCAAGTTGGAATTCTCCTCCACTCATTTAAATTATTTTTAGACGAATTATAAAAATGGTCCTTATGGTTTACCAAGTATCACAAATTCAGTCCCTTTATACTTGAAAAGACGAAAATGCCCTTACGAATTCAGTCCCTAACGGCTGAATACTAACGGCGTTAGTAAAAAGGGCCATCCGTGCAAGTTTTTCAAACCACAAGGACCATTTACATCAAAAAAAAATTAATAGGGACTGACTTTGTGACTTTTGGCAAACCATAAGGACCATTTTTGTAATTTTGTCCGAAATAAATTAAGAATTTACCTTGGCTACTTGCTGTTGTTGTTGCTGATTCTTTTGAATGAACGAAACATGCTTCATTTTTAAAAATATATATAAGAAAAATTGGACAACAAATACTTACCATTGTATCAAATTGAAAAAATCACCATTAAATAAGAGTTCGAATTGATAGATAATGGAAATGTAGGATCGTGGTTTATTATTGTAAGGGATATCAGAATGAATAGGTGTACATGTCATTCAACATGTAAAGCTGAAACCAAAAAGAAATGACACTACGGACAGGGGCTTCGAAAAATATGGGCTGTGGAAAAAATAGGTTGTGGAAGATATAGGATTTCAGAAAAACAAATATGTACTTTTTTTAAACAAAATACAAATGTGTAATGCGTTAACAAAATATTAACTTAATTATAAAATATAAGATGCATTAGCATCATACATACTTCATCTACTAAATAAAAAAAACATTTAAAACATCACCTTCATTTTATTTGGACCCTGCTATCATTATTCTTTAAAATACCAAGTTGATACATTTTCCCTTTCAATATTGATTTTTTTTTTTTTTTTTCTATCTTCATCTTATTAATTTTCACACCATACTTATCGCCATAAATTGTATTGCATCATCCACTATATTGTTTTCTTTCTCTCTACTAGTTCCCAAAATATATCTTTCAATCTTTATTTGGGTGAATGTTTTAGTGAGTTAGGGTAAAAAGAAGTAATAGTAGATTCATCTTTATCAGCAAAAACACTTTGGACAACAGTGAAGTCTTTTCTTATTGTTACTTCAAAATCAGAAAATATCATTCTATTAGCAATCTAATAAAACAATAATCCACGTAATCTTTATTGTTCCAAGTGTTGAATAAAACTTTGATTGGGTCGTATCCCAAAACAGACATCACATCTTTAAAAGTTTGAACATAAAACTTGTTTATATCAAGATGATCAACGAAGTGTATAGTCGGTCACACATGAAATCGAGATGTGGTTGCTGTGAATTTACCTCCATGCATAAGTTTTATGGAGTAAAAAAATTCATTCAATTTGTCAATACTCTTGGTCGACTTCAAATATTGTATTAGCAGATGAACATTCCATCTATTTGCTGCTTCCAGCATGATGTTGATAAAATAGAAAATTTTGGTTTGCATTTTCTTCGTACTAAAACTGCTTAATTAGAAGAGGAAATGATTGACCTCTGTAATGGAGAGAGAGAACAACGAGGGATGGAGCCAGGTAGGTCGGAGAAAGAAATACGGGAGAGATTTCAACATAAACGGGAAACTGGTAACCTTTCTACATTCAGAATTTTCCTCCAGACTGGAATGAAACCGCACTATGGATGATGTTTAACAGATTTGCGTCAGTTGTTGATGTTTATATTGACAAGAAACTAAACCGTCTCAAGAAGAACTTTGGATTTGTTAGATTCATTCGAATTCAAGATAGTCTTTCCTTTGAAAAAAAGACTAAAAGGAATTTACATTGGAGCACAGAAGATTGAAGTAAATGTGGCTCGGTTTGACAGAAAATAGATTGTGACTCGAAGAAAAAATCCTCAAGCAATGGAAAACTCTCGTTCAGCCCCAGCAATGAACCCCAACGCACCTGCTAGGTCGTATGCTGAGGTTGTCAGGGGGACAAGCAAAAATAGCAAAGAGAACAAAGAGGTTGAAGGGGCGGACCCTCTGGGGAAATCTATTAAGTGGCTATCCTTCTTTGGGTCAAAAGAAGCCATGCAGAATACTTTGGTGGGGGAGTTAGAAAATTTCCAAGCTCTCATGAATGTGAAAGCTTTTCAGGAGGTTGAGGGATGCCCAGTGATCCAATTAAGAAACAAATTAGATAGGCAAATTTGAGGTTGAGGTCGCATTCAAAATCACTCTTTCTTTATGGGGTTGCATGAAACTAAATCTACGGAGGTAAGAAACAAATTCGATAGGCAAATTTGTGGTTCTCCGAACTTCCAACGTGAGGTCATTGACCCGACGGGGTTCTCTGGTGGAATATCTTCTCTATGGGACCCCTCCCTCTTAAAGGTCTATTAATCATTAAAAGGTAATGGTTTTCTCGCCATCAAGGGTATATGGCTTAAGTCAAAGGAAAAATGTTTGTTTTGTAAACGTGTATGCTCCACAAGAACCATTGAGGAAACAGGCTCTATGGAATAACTTATCTGACCTCCTAAATTCAGACACGGAATCCTGTTGGTTTGTATTTGGTGACTTTAATGTAGTTTGTATGCCTGAAGAAAGACTTGGCTCTGTTTTTTTTTTTTTGTCAAAATAGTGCATATTACTTCAATAAATTCATTCACTCTCTTGGTTTACTAGAAGTTAAAATGGGGGTCGTAGATTTACGTACATGAACGCAGTTGGGGATAAACATAGTAAGCTTGACAGATTTCTTGTCTCTCTTAATCCTTTTGAGTCCTGGCCAAACCTAAACGTCACAACCTTGCCAAGGGTTCATTCGGATCACTGCGCTATTCTCCTATCCGCTTCACATCTTGATTTCAGTTCATCCACTTTCAAGTTCTATAATTCTTGGCTAAAGGACCCTGGTTTTGAGGATATATTAAGAAGCGGATGGTCAATTAGCAACAACCAAAGGCATAGACTTCTGTTATCCCCTATCTCTTGTTGCAGATAAACTGAAAATTTTAAAAGAGCATATCAGAGCATGGACGAAGGAAATTATAGAAAAGGCTACAAAGGAGATAGATGAGCTCACCAAAAAGCTAAATGACATTGATCTCATGGCAGGGATGGGTCAGGCAAATGAAGAACAAATGAAAAGTCGACAAAATGCTTATAAAAAAATCATCGAACTTGAATCCAGGCGTATTGAAGATTTAAAACAAAAATCTAGAGCCAAATGGGATCTATATGGTGATGAAAACATTGCTTTCTTTCATGGTTTAATCAATAAGCATCGGAGAACTCAGAGGATCAATGGAATTAAGGAGAATGGTTTCTGGATAAACGATCCAGTTGCAATAAAAGAGATGTTCACTAAGCACATAGCCGGGAGATTCGTTGTGCCCATCAAGTCGCACCCTAAATTCCTCAATCCAAATTTCAATAAACTACCCCCCCCCCCCCCCATGCGATCATGTATTTAGAAGAGCCATTCTCTTTTGAAGAAATCAAATCAGCCATATGGGCATGTGGGCTCCAGGCCCTGATGGATTCTCTTTCGCCTTTCTAAAAAAACATTGGGACATGATTGGAGGCAATTTTTATCTTGCAGTGAAACATTTCGAAACTACTGGGCATATTGATAAAGGATGCAACTCATCCTTTATCACCCTCGTCCCGAAGGTCCAAGATCCGATCACAATAACCGATTTTCGCCCAATTAGCCTACTCGGTTGTTTGTACAAATCAACATCAAAGGTCCTAGCAGAACGTCTAAAAAAGATGGTACATCTGGTGGTTAGCTCCTCACAGACAACTTTCATTAAAAACAGGCATAATCTAGATGGACCTCTTATCTTAAATGAAGTGATCATGGATCCAAGGCTGTTTATCATCAACTAGGATCTTGGTGATTATCAATGGGTCTGCTACCACATAATTTGGTATGGAGCGTGGGGTAAGGCAGGGGGACCCGTTGTCTCCGTTCCTATTCATCACTGAAGCCGAAGGACTGAACATTGCAATGGAAACAACGAAAGAAAAGGGTTTATTCGAAGGTATTCAGCTGCCCCGTAATGGACCTGTAATTTCTCACCTGCAGTATGCCGATGATGTAATATTTATGGGTAAGTAGCCAAAGGAAAATACAAAAACCCTAATCAGAATTCTAAGGTGTTTCGAACTGGCATCAGGTCTCAAGATAAATATGTCAAAATGCAAATTATATGGGGTTGGTACTCAGAACTGTGAGTTAAATTTGGTGGCCCGAAGCTTCAACTGTTCTACGGGGTCTTTCTCGTTTACTTACTTAGGTCTTCCTGTTGGCACTTCTATGGCTAGAACAACTCGCTAGAAGCCTATCATCGAAAGATTCCAAGCGAAATTATCTAGATGGAAAGCCTCCACTTTGTCGTATGGGGGTCGATTGACCTTATGCAAGGCATTAGTGAGCAGCCTTGGGTCCTTCTATTTCTCTCTATATAAAGCTCCAGTAAAGGTTATCAAAAGTCTTGAAAGGATTTGGATGAGTTTTTTTGGGGTGGCTGTTCTGAATCTAGAAAAATTGCTTGGATTGCTTGGGAAAAGATCCTTGCAGCTAAAGAAAGAGGTGGGCTCGAAATTGGTAGCTTGAAGGCGTAAAACTATGCTTTGTTGGGGAAATGGTGGTGAAGATTCATGAGAACCCTGATAGTATATGGGCTATGGTAATTAATCTATTCATGGTCCTGATGGTGGTTTCTCTCGTCCTTTGATAGCAAAAAGAAGAAGTGGTTGCTGGGGGTCAATTGTTTGTTTCCCAATATGGTTAGAAAAGGATCATGTGTCATTCGTAAACTACTTTAAGCAGGAAGCAAATGTGGATGGCTCTCTAAAATGGACTTGGTCACTTGAGTCATCTGGGGTATACACTATCTCATCGCTAAGAGTCCATATTGACAATCTGGTTCTCCCCCATAGTGATGATGCATGGGTATGGAATCCTCTGGATCCGGGTAAACTAAATACTCTAGCATGGCGAGTTGGTCTCGGAAAACTTCCATGTATGGAGAATCTCTCCAAAATTGGCGTAAGCTCTTCTAATTTGTGTAAAATGTGTAATGAAGCTCCAGAGTCGGAAGATCATATCTTTGTGGGTTGCTCGATCTCAAGAGAAGTCTGGCGGCAAGTGTGCAATTGGTGGCGGTTGCTGGAACATTCCCCCATCTCTTGTAGAGAGTTGTTAAACTGTAAAAATCAGCTTGGCGAGCATCAAAGACTGAGGGTGTTTCACGAAGCTATAATGCTATGCTTCCTGTGGGTTATTTGGAGATTCAGAAACGGAAAGGTTCATGCTGAATCTTTGAGATCCAAATCGGTGCTGACATATGAGGTACAAGTCCTCTCTCATTTATGGCTCAATGCTCAGAAGCGGAGAGGGCAAAATCTAAGATGGATAAATTGGTGCAGTGACCCAATTATAGAATGCTACTGTAGGCAGTAATCTTATTTGATCTTTTGTATTGTTGTCTTTGTTTTTGTTCTCTTTTGTATTCAAATTTTTGTTTCCTCCTAACCCCTAGCTAGTTTCTTTTTTAATATATGCATGCGGTTCCAAAAAAAAAAAGAAGAGGAAATGATATCTTTTTATCTGAAAATGTTTCTAATGAAATATTTTGACAAAAATATTTATTATAGGGCAACTCAATGGTATATTTGCCTTTATTTCTAGACCAATAATGATTAGCAGTCAATTACGAAAAAATACCTAAATTTGTATGAATACGATGGTAGATAATTAAAGCAACTTTTAGTATGAAAATTGTATTAAATTTTAACAAATATAATACATAAGAAATACAAACATTTGTCGATATTCAACTGATATACTTTCATTCATTTTCTTATTATAATATCATGTAACTACAAACTTTATATTTTTAACAAACATAACATGTTTATAAGTAAATTCATACAACATAAAAAATTTCAACAGGTACAAAAGTACTTCATTTAATCGATTAGGTAAAAATAAAAATAAAAAACGAAGAAAACATAAAAAGAACATAACACATAAAAATATAACCAATGTCACAAAACGACATACAACCAATTCAACAAAAATAAATCATAATATTACCTTTAATTTAGTGTTTGTCTCATACATCTTTGTTTTAATGAAGATACTCGTAAAATATGTATTTCTCAAAATATTCACTTTGAAATTCTATATATATATATATATATATATATATATATATATATATATATATATATATATATATATATATATATATATATATATATATATATATATATATATATATATATAATATTAGCATATAATAAATAATGTAAGAACACTTTACTATTTCCTACTTCCAACATGATCTTGACAATATATAATTATCTTGGATTGTTTTTCCTTTGTTCTAAAATTGCTAATAAAAAGAAGGAATGATTTATTTTCATAAAAATTGTAATTAAAAATAGGGATTCGCTAAAAAGACACTTAATTTTACCATATAAATACACATCTTGTTCGGTCATTGAATTATAATTGTTAGTTGAAATTCCAAAGAATCTAGTTATAACTGGTTAATCCTATGTTGATTTTTAATAAAAGTGTCCTTGATGTGTCTATTTGCAGGTTCAGTCAAAGTTTTATTCGTCATTATTTCTAAACATATGAGTAGTTAGCATGTAATTAGGAAAAAGATATCCCTGGAATTTTATGAATACAGTGGAACATAATTAAAGAAAAATTTAGTATTAAAATTATATTTAAGTTTAATAAATACATTGTTTTACTAATATATGAAAAATACAAATGTTTGTAAATGTTCAACTAATATATTTTCAATCATTTGCTTATTTTAATATCACGTAAATACAACATTTGTATTTTAACAAACATAACATGTTTATATATATATATATATATATATATATATATATATATATATATATATATATATATATATATATATATATATATATATATATATATATATTATTTTAATATCACGTAAATACAACATTTGTATTTTAACAAACATAACATGTTTATATGTATATTCAGACATCATAGTATATATATATATATATATATATATATATATATATATATATATATATATATATATATATATATATATATATATATATATATATATATATATATATATATATAGTGCTAGGTTCATGTGAGACGGTTTAATTTTGTGAGACCGTGAGACGCA